ATCAAAGATTCCTCACTTACTTTAAGAGACCAATCTGCCTGTGATCTGCTTCATTTAAAAGCCAGAACATTTTGGATGGGCCTAGAAACACATCTTCATTAGCAGCAGCTTTAGAAAGTAAGATGTACAAGACAACATATGATCTGAAAGCTTTGCAGAGTAGAGATGTTCAAGAAGGTTTGGTTAAGAAGAACTCTGAAAATGAAGAGAAATATTTGCTGAAGCCAAGCACTTTTTTCGGAAAGATGACCTTTTCTACTTTAGGACAATAAATTATATGTTCATGGTAAAAGAACACCAAAAGTCAAGCAGTTTCCAAAAAAAAAAAAAATTGTCATTAAATGAATTGATATTCACATTGACTTTCAAAATTGTTGTCTGTAAGCAACATTTTCTGGGGTACCAGGTCCTGAGATATGGTTTATCTGATTCATTTAGTAAGAAAGACTATATAAAATATGGATCAAGAGCTGATATCTTATAAGGTCCACATTCAAAAGTAGCATAAATAAGACAAATATGGCAAGTCTCTGATCAAAAGGTACAATAACACTCTATGAACTTTATGGCATTCCCCTTCAAAGACTTCAAAGCCTCTGATAAAAATATGTCATGAGCCATTCCATAGACAGGAGACAGATAAGGGGGAAAATACCATTCTTCTTACTGTGTGGGCATAAACTGAAAAGATGAAAAGAGAAACAACCCTAACCCAGGCTTCTCTTTAGTTAAAAAAAAAAAGCATAAATCTAAAGAATGCGTCCAGCTACAGCTATGTGCTTAACTTAGGCAAAAACTACTGATATTCTTAGTTACTTTGATAATTTTGGCAAAAACAAATTGTTTCACTGAATTTCCAGTTTGTCTATTGCTTTCTTCTCCGTCCTATCCTCCAAACTGCCTGACAGGGTTTCCAAAATATAATCTGGTCCTTTCATTATCTTAATTAAAATCTTTACTGGATCCGATTACTCTACATACACTAGATTAACTAAAACATCCTCTAAGTAGCAGTCTTCAGTTTATGCCACTCCTCATTCATTTATTCATTCATTCAACAAATATCTTCCTCTGCCACATTTACTGCAATACAACCATACCAAGATGCTTAATATTATTTGCAAAAGGTGACAGATTTCAATGATTTGGAATCAAACTAAAATGTTTCTTCTCAGCAAAAGAAACAATCTGTGAGATGAACAGAGAGCCTACATCCTGGGAGCAAATTTTTACCTCACACATTTCAGAAAGAGCACTAATCTCTAAGTATGTAAAGAACTCAAAAAGCTAAGAACCAAAAAAACAAATAACCCAATCAACAAATGGGCCAAGGACCAGAACAGACACTTTCAGAAGAGGATATATAATCAATCAACAAGTATATGAAAAAATGCTCATCATCTCCAGCCATCAGAGAAATGCAAATCAAAACTACTCTAAGATATCATCTCACACAAGTCAGAATGGCAGCTATTATGAAGACAAACAACAATAAGTGTTGGTGAGGATGTGGAGAAAAAGGTACACTCATACATTGCTGGTGGGACTGCAAATTGGTACAGCCAATATGGAAAGCAGTATGGAGATTCCTTGGAAATCTGGGAATGGAACCACCATTTGACCCATTCCTCTCCTCTGTCTATACCCAAAAGACTTAAAAACAGCATACTACAGGGACACAGCCACATCAATGTTTATAGCAACACAATTCACAATAGCTAAACTGTGGAGCCAACCTAGATGCCCTTCAGTGGATGAATGGATTAAAAAATGTGGCATATATACCCAATGGAATATTATTCAGCAAAAAAAAGAGAACAAAATCATGGCATTTGCAGGTAAATGGATGGCTTTGGAGAAGATAATGCTAAGTGAAGTTAGCCAATCAAAAAAAAAAAAAACAAATGCCAAATGTTTTCTCTGATATAAGGAAACTGACTCATAGTGGGGTAGGGAGGGGGAGCATGGGAGGAATTGATGAGTTCTAGATAGGGCAGAGGGGTAGGAGAGAAAGGGAGGGGGCAAGGGATTATCAAGGGAGGTGGAATGTGATGGACATCATTATCCAAAGTACAAATATGAAGACACAAATTGGAGGAAAGGCAGCAGAATACAATAGACACTAGTATGGCAATATGTAAATCAATGGAAGTGTAACTGATGTGATTCTGCAATCTGTATACGGGGTAAAAATGGGAGTTCATAACCCACTTGAATCAAAGTGTGAAATATGATATATCAAGAACTATGTAATGTTTTGAACAACCAACAATAAAAAAAGAGAAAAAAAAGACACAAATTGGGTGTCAACATACTTTATATACAAACAGAGATATGAGAAATTGTGATATATATATATATATATAAATATATATATATATATATAAAATAAAAATTGTAGTGCAAAAAAACAAAATACTTGTATAAAGACATGAATTGGTGTGAACATACTTTATATACAAAGATATGAAAAATTGTGCTCTATATGTGTAATAAGAATTTTAATGCATTCCTCTGTTGTGTATTTTAAAAAATAAAATAGATTTTTTAATTTTTTTATTTCAAATAAAAAAATCAATGATTTTAAAGCTTTCCTATTCATTTTTGTTGGTAGAAATGCTTCATCTTTGTTCATCTGACAAAAGAAAATTCTAATTCATAACAAAATGAAATTCACACATTTTGTCCTTGAGAATAAATCCTGAATATTCTACCTAAGAAAATGAATTATTTCTTACAGTGTGCTTTTATACCCATTTATTCATATCATCAATAATGTGCTTATTGCAATATAGCTAGTTTTATACATTTTGGGGTTTTCTTTGTTGTTTTAACTAGAACTTAGGTACTATGATTTATTGCAGCTATAAAATTTAAACACTGCTAATGTTGCCTATAACACTGAGTAACTCAATGATCATTTATTAAATTGGAAGAAATTATAGAGAAATATTTCTAGAACGCATTATATTTTTAATATTAATATTTTAGGTCTGGTACAGTGGCACACACCTGTAATCTTAGCAGCTCATGAGGCTGAAGAAAGAAGATCAAAAGTTCAAAACCAGCCTCAGCAACTTAGCAAAGCTCTAAGCAACATAGCAAGATTCTGTCACAAAATTAAAAATAAAACAAATAGAAAGGGCTAGGGATGTGGCCCCATGGTTAAGGACTCCTGGGTTCAATCCCTAGTATGAAAAAAAATAGGAGTCAGTAGTGTATTTATGTTTCTGTCCAAGAAGGTGGGGATATTCCCAGGATGTAATGTCTCTGCTTTTGATAATAATCAGGTGAAAAGAAGACAAGTCAGTATCAATAACACCATTCTACCAGTGTGGTAGCTGATATCTGATTTAGACACTTCTGTTATTTTCATTTCATACTGCCCGCTAAGAAACATTATATATTATACTAAAGTTTATATCATTCTTTCTTAAGAAATTCTCTGTTTGTACCAAAAAAAATATTTACCCAACTTTAGCCCTTATAGAGGTCCTCAACTCTAATTAATACTGAACATAATTGTCAACATGAAAGCTAGGACTCACATGTGTTCCTCTTACTGGTGAATTTAGAGTGAAGGAAGATTATTGTTTTTTGCTACAATTTCTCTGAAGCATGGAGAAATTGAGTTATTTTGAAAATCTCAGAGCTACAAATCAGGTAGTTTTAAATTTCTAAATGAATCTTCAGGACAGATAAACCTTCCAGACATCCCATCATACAAGATGGTACCATTTTTGCCCCTTGTTAGTGTTTCCACTTTATAACTGAATCATTCTTTTAAAACAAGCTTTCAGTGATGAACAGAACAAATAATTTTATAAAACTTGTTGATTTCAAATGATCATTCTGTGTAAAGTGTATTTATAGTAATGTTAGTTCACATGTGATTATTAAATGTTAGTTCACATGTGATTATTAAATGTAGTACATAATCCTAAATAAAGTAAATGGGCTAATATGAACTTCCTTTTGGTCAAAGTTTTCGAACTTTTTGGACTCTGTAGAGGGACTTAAGTTACTAAGGATCTCTGACTTTGATGGTAAGCTTTATTTGTCAACATACCAATAAAAAGAAAGAGTGTATTTGAATCTAAATTATTCCAGGTCATTTCTGTACAAAAGCACACAATGTACTCTTTTAAGACAGGGGGGTGACTTTACTTTTATATATAAACAATAAAATTTCCTCAGATAAATATGATGCAATGTGAGGCATGACCTCTGATATGTAATGAAGCCAGCAAGCTCTAGGAAAATTGTCATTCAGAAGACCAGTGTATGGGCTGTATGCCAAATGAAAATTTTACTCTGTTGGAGCATGCTTGGGTTTCAATTCAAGGAAGGAAGAATAAAATGGTATGTAGGATTATGCAGGAAATTTACATTTTTGAGACATGATAGGAAAAGAAATATATCTCAAGAGACAACCATAGAGAAAAGGGTCATTCCTGAAACTTTCCACGTTTCCAGAAAGCCATTGCATACGTAGATTCTTCCATACGTAGAAAATCCAATGAGGAGGTTAGGGAAGAGGGATTGAAGATACTTAGATGAAGAATTCTTAATGTTTTTTAAGTAAACTGATAATTTTGCAGAGCCACTGAAATCTTTAAAACATCTATCACTTATTCTAGATTTAGTAAACACAGAAAGATGCACTGTGGCATTTATTTATTTAGGCGTTACTTTTGTGAAAATCTCTGGTATAAGAACTTGTTTTGGCTTTGGTTTGGCTCTTATTAGAAAGTCAGTCTCTCTCTCTCTCTCTCTCTCTCTCTC